TATAATCATCCATGAAACAAGAAAGGTTTCTGGTTAGAAAATTTAAATGGACTTTTATAAAATCTGTAAAAAATTATAATCAACGATGACTCGTTTATCAAGTTTCTTGATTATTTGATATGATTACAAATTGTGATTTTTAGAAAGTCAAATAAGATAAATTTTTATACAAACAAAATCTAATAGTGTATTAGACAAAAACTTGATGGTTTTTTAGTAAGTTTGGTTGAAAAATAAAAAGTCCTACGTATTAAGTTGTTATTAGACCAAAGAGTGTTAAATAATTTAACATTCACAAAAATGAGCTCTTTCATTTAAAATTGGTTCAGTTCATTTTTTAAAACCGGTTGTGTCAATAAACATTCACAAAGAAAAAAAAATTTTTTTTGAAACAAAAACATATTTTTGTTTAAAAAAATTAAATTAGTTTTAATATAAGCTGTAATAACTTATAATCATCGATGCCAAGATTATCGTTTTTCATGACTATTTGATATGATTATAAATTGTGATTATTATAAAATCATATGAGATTAAATATTATACGAACAAAGTCTAATAGTATACTGTAAAAAAGCTTAAGTGTTTTTAGAAAGTTAGGTTGAAGTATAAAAATTCCGACGTAATTAATTTTTATTAGACTAAAGAGTGCTTATTAAGTTGACATTCACAAAAAAAATTATATTCATCCATGAAACAAAAAAGGTTTCTGGTTAGAAAATTTAAATGGACTTTTATAAAATATGTAATAAATTATAGTCAACGATGACACGTTTATCAAGTTTCATGATTATTTGACTTAATTATAAATTGTGATTTTTATAAAATTAGATAAAAACTAGATAAAAGATTATACCAACAAAATCTTTTATTATATGTATTCTAAATGGACTTTTATTATATTCATCCATGAAACAAAAAAGGTTTCTGGTTAGAAAATTTAAATGGACTTTTATAAAATATGTCATGAATTATAATCAACGATGACACGTTTATCAAGTTTCATGATTATTTGACATAATTATAAATTGTGATTATTATAAAATTAGATAAAAACTAGATAAAATATTATACCAACAAAATCTAATAGTATACTATAAAAAAGCTTAACGGTTTTTTGGAAAGTTTGGTTCAAGTATAAAAGGACCTACATATTAGGTTGTTATTAGAACAAAGAATGCTAATTGAATTAACGTTCACAAAAAAAAACAATCATCCATCAAACAAACACGTATTTTGGTTAAAAAACTCAAATGGACTTTTATAAACATGTAATAAATTATAATCAACAATAACAAGTTTATCATAGTTTATGCTTATTTAGATGTGATTATGACTTATGATTATTGTAAAATCATCAAAGACAAAAGGTTATACAAACAAAATCTAATAGTATACTATACAAAACTTTGATGGTTTTTCAGAAAATTAGGTTGAAGTAAAAAAAATTCCTAGGTATTAAGTTGTTATTAGACCAAAGAGTGCTAATTAATTTAACATTCACAAAAAATGCTTTGTCATTTAAAATTGGTTCAGTTCCTGCCGGAAAGTTATAGACTATAGAAGTGGGAGTTTGTTTTCCGAAAAAGAGACCCATGAACGTTTTTGTTATTGCTCTTGTTTAGGTATATCATCAAAATGAAGAGATGGACTAGAATTATCTTCAAATAGTACGGTTTTTCTGTGTTTGGTAACTAAATTGTTTACGTCATGTGACATGCGGACAGTAGCTAGGTTTTTTTCCGGACAGTACGGCCGTTTCGTGTTTTTTTTTACTTTTTTTTTTACTTAGGTCATGGGAATTGCAGACATTGGCAAGGTTATTGTCGGCTAGTAGGGCCTTCTCGTGTTTCTTCCCTTTTTATTTATGCTTTCGTCTGTGTCTATTTGTGCTTTTGTGTGTTAGTGTGCTTTCGAGAGTGTGTATGTGTGTGTTATCGTGTATGGGTATGTGCTTCCGTGTGTATTTTCGCGCGCGCGTGATCGGGTGTGTGATCTTTAGCGTGTGCGTGTGCTCTCGAGCGCGCGCGTGTGTGTGTGTGTGTATGAGTGTGCTTTTATCTATGCCTGCTTTTTTCTTCAGTTTTTTTTTCTGTTTTAGTCGCTTTGCAGTCTACCGGGTTGATGTTCTTGATGTTCGGTTGTGACATGGCAACTTCTGTCAGATAGGAACGGAAGGACAGCTTCAGAGTTCATAACTAGACAAAACTTAGAGCTCACAATATTATGAGACTTTCTTTAACCTCAATAAAGTTCGGTGTTCTCCTCAAAATTTTGCAACAAAACTTTTCAATTCCCCATAATATCCCAGGAAAATCTGAAAGTTTTTCAATAGAATCCTTCAAGACAGAAGATCGAGATTTAAATAATTCGATTTTAAAAAAATTGTTTTTTTTCTGTTTTAGTTGAACAAAAAAGAAAATTTCATGAGTAATCGATGGGGAAATACTAGATTGTTGCAGTTTTTTGGCAGAAGCAATAGATTTTTTTGATTTTTAAAACTTAACTGCATTGATTTGTGACTTTTGATTGTTCTAATTTAAATTGAATTATTTTACTGAATACAAATTTCCATTTTAGTCTAAGTGAGCTTAGGTTCACTGAAGATTTAGGGATGTTCTGGTTTTTTGCAGCGTTTTTTTCCAGCCCTGAATTACTAGTTGACAGGGCTAGTTTTCTAGAGAAGGAAAAATCAAAAATATGGGTCAAAAATTCCCTCACAGACTTTTTCAAAGGCTGTAGACAGAGAGGTCAAGTAAACTGAAACTCTAGGGCAGTATACAGGCACACAAGTATGTTTCTTTCAATTGAGACCTCTTTTTTTAAAATCAGCAGAAATGCAAGTGAAAAAAATTGCAAAACGGAAAAAATGAAACTTCAAAAAAACGATTGGTAAACATACAACGACATTGTAAAGTGCGGAGGGTTGTGGTAAAATTTTGTAACCCTTGAAACGACCCAGAATTAGGTCGTTAAGCCAAATAAAAAGGTCGAAATTATTTGGGTCGAGGATTTTTTTTTGTGAAACAAGAAAAAAACAAAAAAAGGAAATACGAAATCAAGAGAGTTTAAATTACAAATTTTAGGCGTTAATCAACTACCAAAATAAATGAGAAAGTAAAAAATTTATTTGAGATAATCACTTCTCCAGGTAATATCAAAAAATTAAGGATGATTCGTTTTCGCAGGAACAATTCTCGGAACTGGCTTTTTCAAATGAGCTTTTCATCTCAAATTTGAATTTTCAAAGTTTCTAAAACACGGTCAAAATATTTACCAAAAAAAGACATAGGCTTTCAAACAACTCTCAAAGTTCAGAATTTTTACTTGTTTGACGGCAACAACTTTTCTTTAACAAACTGTTCATAGTCATTTATAAATGTAGGCTTTCAACAGCCTGTTGTTTCGATTATGCCTAGCATGATAGTTAGCGAGAAAAAACGTTCAAAACATCACAATTTGGACTTTTCCGAGGGCCATAAATGTATGTGTCGGAAAGATTTGGGCTTTATCGTAAAAAAAATAGAGCTTCTTACAACACGGTTTTTGCATTTAATCAAAGCCTTAGATTTGGCAGGGCAGTTTTCGACATTATTCAAAAAGTTTAAAACAAACGGTCAAAAAATTTTGACTTCTCCGAAAGCCGTAACTTCTAATGTCAAAAATATTTGGGCGTAGTCGTACATTAAATGAGTTTCCAACTACCTGGTATCTGAATTTAACCCAAAACCTCAGTTACGTCAGGGTAGTTTTCGAGAGTATTCAAAAAGTTTTAAAAGGTCAAAAAATCAAGTTTGCCAATTCCGAGGACAAAATCGTTTTGTAAACAAAAAGGTGTAACCGTTTATGCAGGGCAGTTCTTCAAAATCATTCTATTCGTTCAAACCATTAACTCAGGTTTAAGAGGGATAGTTTTCGCAAAAACGACAAAATCCAAAATATGGTTCAAAATCTCCCCGACAGACTTTTTCGAAGGCTGTAGACAGAGGGGTCGAGTAGGAGACTCTACGGGAGTAGACAAGCACACAGAAAAAAGGCGGTTTTTCAAGTTACATTCCTTGTTTAAAAATCAGTTGAAATTTTTAAGAGAAACCCTAACCTTCTAAGTGAAAAAAATTTTCCAAAAGAAAAAAAAAACGAAATTTCAACGAACCGATTGGTAAACATATAATCAAGTTATACATTGCGGAGACATTGCTAAAATTGTGTATTCCTTGAAACAACCAAGAATTAGTTCATTAAGCAGATAAAAAAAAATAGGTCGAAATACTTTGGGCCGAGGAATTTTTTTAGTGAAACGAAAAAAAAACAAAGGAATTACGAAATTAAGGAAAGCTAAATTAAAATTATAGGCTTAAATCAAAGACTAAAAGCAATCTAAAAAAAACGATTCAAATATGTGACAGCTAAGCAGACAACTAATTCGCCGTTAATTGATTAAAAACAGAATATTTCCCGTTTGAAGTCTTGTCAGCCTCGAACCTTGGGCAATTGCCGTCACAGGCTTATACGATACCTCCAGGCTAAATTGGCGGGGAACGCTAAGAAATTTGAAGAGATTCTGAAAAGAGGTACCACTAAAGATTAATGCTTCCAGACGTGTCCAGTGAACGAAGTTTTTGATGGGGGAAAAAGTCTAGTACCCGATTGCAGAACCTTTCTTATCGCAAAGATAATAAATATGATTATGAACATATCAAGATTATTTAATCACAACTAATAGCTATTTTCGACACGTGGACGCTATCAAGTTTGCGGAACCAAATAACGATCACGAACACTCTTAATTAGCTCCTCCCTTAAGCTAACTTTTGCAGCCAACGCCTAAATGACCTTTTCATTGTTTGCTCTTCTATTTGTAAAAGAAACAAACATGTTAAGTCTACTATAATTGAGGAAGAGATGGCTTCAACCTTTCTCTCCTCCTATGATTAATACAGGTAACTGATGGATATAACTAACTCACTTCGGCTAAAAACTAATTGATATTTGTGGTAAATTATTGAAATATTCAGTAAATAATTAGTTTGATTAAAACATTTAAGGCAAATCACAGCTAGCTAATTAAGCAATGGTACGAAAACTACTGTAAATATTAGTATCAAACCAACAATTTACAATCCAAAACAAAAGGCCAGCTTTTATAATGAAGACTGTACAAATTAATTTTACAAAAACAATCTTTAAAATAAATAATGAAATAATCTTTATATTGTCGAGCAAAAAACAACGCTTTCTAAAGATGGATGCTCTGGGTCTCAGAACACCATTAGTCAAAATACATTCAACAAATTATAGCTCTAACACAATGATTTTTTATTGATGAGAACTTGATGTAGTTTGTTTTATAAAGTTTATAGAAGGGATCGTGAAGAATGCTGAAATAAGATACTACATTGATAGTTTCATTTTAATAAACTGTCGCTTTATTAAGTAAAATTTGCTAGATTTTATTATTTAATCACAATGTTTCGCGATAATCGATATTAACTAGTTTTGCAGCGGAAAATGACAACCAACTGGTCTATATCTAATTCAAACTGTTTTCATAAATATTTGATGCAATAATAATTTACACTTTACAGCTTTTTTCCAAGTCATGATTGCACAACAAAAATAAATGTCCACAAAAACACTGACCACAAAACAGTGGCCCTCAATTGCACTGGTTGTGGTCAAAATCAACCATCTACTTACTGCACAAAATCTAGATTAAACTTAAACACAAAACAGTTACATCAGCAGGAAAATTGTCCAATAAACTGCTCCGTAAAATGAGTTTGGGTAGTTTGATAAACAAATTGACAACTGCTGAACGAAAATCAATATTTTTTTGCGCGATGTTTTGCCAAACTAATGGCAAATTCTGATTAATTGTCAAAAATACACATGAGAGGAACTGTTATAATTGATCACCATTTAATCAGTTTTGTCAGCTATCGCCCGAGTTACTTGGCCCTGCTGACGTTGAACTGCTTCCAGGCTGTTGTTGCTCGGCTTGGGCAATTTCTTCTTCCAGGGTCACTGGGACCTCCCGCTGTTGTTCCGCGGCAGCAACCGAAGACGCAGTCTCGTTGAAGAGTTCGTCGAGTGCATCTCTAACATCTGGCCAGAGCTTGCGAGGAATCTGAATGGTTTGGCGCTTGTAGTTGGCAGACGGATTTTTCTAAAGCGCAACAACCACTGTCATAGTATCTGCAAATTTGTAACATTAAATACGAGAGTAATTTAAACTCCATTTTGGGTACTAGATAGGGTCATCTTGTAATTCGCATGTAATATAATGAGGATATTATTATATTACAAGCGAATTATCAAAAGACCATATCTATTAGTTATACCGGAGTATTAAAAATGACAAATAGGGAGCTTTAAATTTACAATGAAAAAATAAAGAAAGGTAGCCGGTTGCTGTGCAAATGACACAGAATATTCCGACCATAAATCATGAAAAAATAGAAAACAGTCCGCCAAATAAGTGTCTCGCGTGATTCGTCAAACTAGTGGGTGGCGTGATTCGAGAACTATACAATCGCGTCAAAAATTTGTGAATTATGCATGATCGACAATATTTTTCTTCATATAATGAATAAGAAACGAAAAAAAATCCAACTTTTTAAACAAAAAATTCAATTAATATATTTTTCTGCCAAATAAGCGCTGAATGAATAATCCAAAACGAGTTTTCTTTATAATAAAATTAAGCTTAATATCCTGAAAGTCCAAAAAAAATTTCCATATAACGAGCGTTATTCGATTGCGTTGCGTTACTCACTCGATATTAGACTAAATCTAAAAACTTCAGGCCAGTTTTTCTCAACACTGGGATAATTTGCTGTTTTTAAAATTTAGTTCGAATCACGACTGAAAGGGATTTATAACGGAATATCACTCGACTCATTTCAATGACTATATGTCACTGCCGATTTTGTGCAGGAAACAAAAATTAAAAACACGAATACAAAATTCCTCCCCATTTTTCAAATGATCGGAACAAAACAAATAAAATATTGATAAAATAAAAACTTGCGCGTCTTTCAGCTCCGCAATATAAGAACATAGTGAGCAGACATCGAAAAAAAAAACTTACGCAATCCACGCAAATAACGTTTTTGATTGGTTGGATTCCACTGCAGAAATTACTAATGCACTTTTGATCACATTCTAGCCTAAGACTGACAAAATTGCAATTCACACGATCAACATTTATACAAGCATTCGAGAATTCAAGACAAATATTGAAAATTCACCAAATGCATCTTTACTGGTGCTTGTAAAACAGAGATGAAAGCAGAGCTCGCGCTTTTTCCGATGCAACCACTATGCCACTGATGGACATCAGAAAAAATAGAAAAAAACTGCTCCATATATCATAATTTTCCAAAACTTACTTTTCCATAATTTTCCAACTTTTGAAGTTAGTCACTATTCAATCTATGACGCAATATGAGTCAATTCACATCAGGCTCATTCGATAAATTTGGCAAAAGAATCATTGCAGAAAAAAATCGGATATAGGGGCATATTCGGACATTGCTAGCTTTCATAATGAGGAAAAGAAAAAGCACAAACAAATTTAAGAAAATTCCGGAAATATTCTTGGTATTCATGTATCTGCACTATAAGTAATCTTGTTGTTATTGCAATTTAATTATTTAGACTTATAATTAAAAACCAGAACCTCTCCCGTCAGAAAGCGGGAAGGATAAACAGGCGTGTTTGGTTCTCTGGAATAGTATTTTGAATTCACTAACTGATATTTCGGATAGTTTGATGTAGAATCCCTTGTTGGAGTGGCCCACGTCCATGAACAGCAGCCGACTGTCATACGAGAACTTCTTCGACTGTGGCAACGACTCCTCCACTGATCATAAATCATCACAAGCAACAATATTAAACAGCAGCAAGTGCAGCCAGGTGATATATTACAATAGGTGGCAGCAGGGGCGGATCTAGAATTTTTTCGAGGGGAGGGGGGGGGGGGGCGGATTTTCACTTTTTTGTCACACTATAAAGACCCCATTTCAGGGTTGCAAAAACACGTTTCGAGTTTAAAAAAATGTTTTAAATGAAAAAAATGAAATTGTATGCACTCTGTGCGCCGTACTTTTCCCAGTTGAGTTCTCTTTTCATTTCAATTTCAGTAGGATCAACTCCAAAAAAGTCAGATATAAAAAAACGCAGCAAATCAAGAATCCAAAACAGAAGAATTTTACCGTTTCTTGGCACTTTCGAGCCATTCGCGTCTTTCGATACCTCGTTCACAAAATCCATCGAGGAGATTTTTCCACGAATACAGTTCAGTTAGTCAAAGCACACAAGAAAATCTGCCAATCAGGGAAAGTTGTTTTAAATAATAAATTATTCAGTGTTTTAAACACTGTTAAACGTGTTTTAAACATTGCAAACCTGCATCATTTTGACCAAACTTTCTGCGCCGCAGACAAATTTTTGAATAAATAGGCCAAAAAGGCGTTTTTAAACAATTTTTGCAAAATTTTGTAGAAAAAATCGCGTTTTTTCGGCGCGCGCTCCCCACTCAAAATTAGTATATAATGGCGCCTTTAGAAGAATTTTAGAATCAGTCAGCCAAAATGGATATTTCAAAATAGTACAAAGGGGAGACCCTTTGGGCCGGCAGGGGGTCGAATCCATGGGACGGGAGGTGGGCGTCTGTCTCCCTACCTAAATCCGCTACTGCCCTCTCGCGTGGTTTTTTAATCTAAAATTTTTGCGTATATTGTAGCGAGACATCTCTTGATAAATTGGTTATCCTCGCGTCAACTTTGTAGATTTCCGTTTTTATGATAAGTTTCGAACAGTATTTATACTTTATTTCGAAAACCAAACTTTTTGAAAAAAAAATTGTAAAATTTGACAAAAATTTATTCTCGCAGAAGTAATGTTATTATAAAAACAATCTTAGTAGCATGTACAATTGATTGATAATGAAATGACTATGTTATGCATAATGGTCCATAAATTTAATACATGCTTTATACTCAAATAGTTCTCAAAATTACCACCTATTTGAACATTTCACCCGCAGCCAGTTGGAAAAGTGTCAACAAACTCAAGAAGAGCAAAAAAACTATTAACCTTCAAAACATGTATTATGATCGCCAGTTTTGTTTAATACAATTAACCCAGATTGAAAAAACTGGAACAATAAGTACAATTGATTGATCCAGTTTTTGGATGCCATTCCAACAACCATTCATTTCGAAATTTTCCAACAAATCATTCGTTTTCCTACAAACCATTATTCATTCCGAAATTTTGTTAAGAATTATTCGTTTAGATGGACAAGTAAATTTCGGTTCACTTCAAGTCTGTTTTCTGCTTTGAATAATTCACAGAAAATTAAACATATATCCTAGTCCTTGCTAGCTTCCAAACGGCTGCTATATATGTTATTGAGTTCAATGGATGGCGTGAAGACAGATTAGATTAGGTTATCTACCTTCTTCTATGTAGAACTCGTCCACGAGTAGTTTGAGTTTGTCCCTGAGTTCGACTATGCCTTGAGCCGGCACCACCACCGTCTGCTTGCCCTGTCTGCCTCCACTCTGGTTCGCACACGACAACTACATGCCAAAAAAAAACAAACAAACCGTTCATTTTGTTTTTTAGATATAATCGATACAAACACTTTCTTGTTATTTTTCCGACCACCCCTTAAGATACCACCTCTAGTTGCTATTGCCCAGTGTAAAACAAGGTGTCGAGAAAAATTGTCTGATATTTTTTTGCTATTCAGATTAATTACCGCTAGAAAAAGTCACTCCAGAGATCGAGTAAATTCTATGTTTGCTACTACTAAGCTTAAATTGATCACTCCTAATTGAACCAATCAATTTCGAAAGAGAAAAAATATAATTTAAAAAATCCCGATTTTTTTTATTTCAAATTTCTTAAAAATTATAATTAGAAAGTGTTTGTATCAATTTTGCTCCAAACATTCTGCGATACTTGCATAGAATCGTATACTCTTCTTTTCTTAAGATTAAGATCATTTATCCACAGGGGAAAGGACCAATACAAGAGCTGTAGAGCTCATCACGGCGAACCGCTGTTGTGCCCCTGTTTAAGAACTACATGCATTTTTTTTGGTTATTTTTCTGGGCTGAGTAATGCTGCTTCACCCTCAAGCAACGAGCACGGATCATGGTGGGCCTCGAACATCCGACCTTTCGATTGAGAGGCTGAGACGTAACCACTTCACCACCGCTCCCATTTAAATTCTTGTCATCAAATAGCACACCTGACCTTAGTTGCTTACGGACTCTGCGGCCAGGGGTGTTCAAAATTACATTGTAATTAAATTAATTGCAATTAATGGCAATTAAATTAATTGATTGCTGAACGTTCCCAATTACACTTAAGTGATTGTCTTGCCAATTAATTGGTGTTTTTATATTGGAATGTAATTTCAGTTGGCTCGTATAACCGCTGCGCACCACCTGCTTCCAAACATAGCAGAGTAAGTTTTCTCATCATTTTGACATCTTGTTTTTCAGACAAACCGCATGCTTGTGAAAGATGCTTGTGAAAGATGAAAAACTTTGAACAGGCAATACACCAAAAATTGCCTGTTCAAAGTTTTTCACGAAAATTGACGCAGACGCAGGTTTGTGGAACTGCAGATGCGGTAAGATATTGGTCTAGGAAAAGAACACTGGCTGGACGATCTTATTAAATCACATTAAAAAAGCACCAGCAGGACCTGCCACAAGCAGAGCGCACACCAAATGTTCTTGATAGTTTTGCAGTTGCTCAAGCTGGACAAAGTCCAAGAAAAGGCAGAAACATATTCGGATGGATAAGAATCATCTGTGATGTATGCGACCTTTCAATTTTGTAGAAGACCCGACTATTCGAGAATACATATAACTGGGTAATATCTCAGAGAAAACGCTGAGTAAGTTAATGGAGAAAATTACGAAAGAAGTCGAAAAGAAGATACGTTATGTTCTTCCAGACAAAGTGCGCTGGTTATTGATGGGTGGTCAAAATCATCAGTTCACTTTCTCGGAGTGTTTGCAAAGTTCCCGGATCAAACTAAACCGGGTGATTAGGAAATGTTGTCGCTTTCATAGGCGATAATGTGACCGTCAACAAGGCCTTGGCAAACACTTCTAACCTACCACTTATCGGTTGCGCATCGCATAGATTTAATCTTGCGGTCAAGGAGTACATCAAGTCAAAAATGCAGATACTTGATAAGGCGAATAACCTGATGGCAAAAGTCACTCAAACTTGCGGGAAAATTAAGGGGACCACTCAACTGAAACCAGTGCGGAAAAATGAGACTCGATGGACCAGCATGTTTGCGATGATTGAACGGTACATGAAGCTTCGTCATATTTTGTCAAAACCCGAATTTTCTGCTGATAAAGCAATTATGAACCTTATATCAACAGCCCGCGAAAATGTTGAAATCAGTTCAGAAACTTCTACAACGTGAAGATTCATTTGTTGAACATTACGGTGACACCATGAAAAAATAATTGGCGACATGCTAGTATTTTTCATTCTCCGATGCTTGAAAGAGCAATTGTTTAGATCCGAGATGCCGCGTCTGACTTAGCCTTGGATGTGGTCTGCAATGTCCAACCTCGTCTTCTGACAATTTTGTACTCCTAATATTATCAAGAAACGACAAATGGTTTCTGGTTTCATGCAATGAAGAATTCTTTTTTGCTACCGCGAACTTTTTGCTACCGACGTGTAACATCATTGAACGTTTGTTTAGCAGTGCAACGTTTGCTTTTGATGATCACGGTCAAGCGCTTTTGTTTTGGGACGAAAAGGTTGTGCCTGAGCTCTGCTGAACTGATTTTGTAACTTGTCAATTAATTGATTGTTTCTTTTGCAATATCAAATTAACTGATTGTTTTGAAATAATTGACTTTTTGTGTTGCAATCACTTTTGCCCCCCCCCCCCTGTCTATGGCTGAATCATCAACGTTTAGATTTATATAATCCATAGATCCGCTGGTGATTGATCTGATACTGCAACGGATAGTGTGAGCCAAACAAACAGGCTTCTTTACTATACCCACTTTCAACTTGTACAATGAAATTGTTTTCATAAATTTCAAATTTTCACTTTTGCTCCTCGCAACTAAACCTACTAAATGTATCATACGATTGAATTCTAAGTCTGACAGACAGTTCAGGCAGTACAATAGACATTCTAGGTTCTCACCTTGAGAAAAACGCCCTTGTCGTTCTGGGCTAGATCCATGTGATATATGCGATTGAAGGAGAGCCTCTTGAATGACTCACTCTTCAGAGGCCTACTTCCCCCTCCTCCTCCTCCCCCAAGAGTGGATAATGGGGGGAGCTGGGGCAGGTGTTGGGAAGACGAAGAGAGGGACAAGGAAGCGAAGTCTGAGCGGAGAGGGGCGACGTCTCCTCCTGATTGGTCGGAAGCAGTAGCACCGCTCACATTAAGAGGTTGGGGACCTCAAAATAAACAGATATTATACAAAGTAACTCAAGCAGAAAACCTTTCGATGAAAAGGAATTTAGTCAAATTTATAATTAAATCTATAAGTTTATTATATTGAAAAATTAATGAAGAGTGCTACAAACATCACCAAATCGCAATATCTAATTTAGAGTAGAAAGAACAAATCAATTGAAAATTACTGACAAATCAAAGCATCGTACATGTTCAAAATACAATCAATTCAATCCAGGGGCGGATCTAGGATTTTCTCGAGGGGGGGGGGGCGGATTTTCGAAAAATTTTCCAAAATTTTGACGACCTTTTTTTTTTAGGTCGACCAAATTGATTTTTCGAGCTCTCCCAAAGCACTGTTTTGCGCCTAATTTGGCAAAATTGTCTGCGCCGCAGGCAAATTTTTGAAAAAACAGTCAAAAAAGCCGTTTTTGGGCACTTTTTGAAAAATTTTGACAAAAAAATTGCGTTTTTTTTGGCGCGCGCTCCCCCTCAAAGTTAGTATATATTGGCGCCAGAGGCGCCTTTAGAAAAATTTTAGGGTCGGTCCGCCAAAAATGGATTTCTGAAAAAGTATCAAAGGGGGGACCCTTTGGGTCGGCAGGGGGTCGAATCCCTGAGGGGGGGGGGGGGGGGGCGTCCGCCCCCCCCCCCTAAATCCGCCCCTGATTCAATCTCTAAATTAGTGGGAAAAGTTTTTCAACCAATCAGACCCAATATTTAGCGAAGAGAGTGATAGAACAGTGATAATGAGCTCAAGGACATTTTAAGCTCTTTGAATTCCATGAATGTTTTATGATGAACACTTTTTTGATACGACTAAAGAAGTTGGGTAAATCGATTCTACAAATATTTTTTTATTGACCTAGAAAAATTTAAAATTAAAATCTGCTTTTGTTAAGCAATATTTTCCCCGCCATTTCAACTTTTATGTTTGGAAAGTGCAAGAATCCTCCCATATGGCAAATGAATTTGAAGTCAACTTGATAAGAAATCAAAAGGCAACCTACCAAAACCAAAAATGATCGTGCGCAAATTTTTAGCGTGAAAAGGAAGGTTAAAACGTCTGATAGGTGTCTTCACTGCGTTCACGTAAAAACAGTGTACCTTTAGACAGGCTTACAAAACTCCTAAGCATTATTGTTCCGACCATTGAAAGTGGGAAGCAAATTTGCATGCGGGTTTACTTCAAGCGTTTTCCATAAAAGCAGGTGCCACAAATTATCATCAGAACTATTGGATTGATAGATACATCATAATAAAGCTTTTTCAGTCACGAGTCGATCGACGCAAAAATGATATATTCAACTAATTCCTGTATTGTGAAAAAAAAACGATTTAAAAACGTTACTTTATAGTATTATTTAGAGCTAGTCAAAGAAGTGAGTAAAGCGACGGGGAGCGGGTAAAGCTTTTCCAGAACCACGAAAAGCAAAAACTCTAAATACTTGAATCTTAAAAAAGATAAGAAAATGATTTGCAACGCAGCTTCTGCAACACCAATGTTTATGGTAGTGTTCAGGAATATAGATTGACAGTAAAAAAAACTGTTTCATAACTTCAAAAAACTTCTAAGTATACCAAGAGTAGACACGATACTGCCATGCCCTTTTGATTTCTAGATGCTTGCTGTTCAAACTCGAACAATGCAATAAAATCATGTGAAAAAGCGTTTTTTCAAAATTCAAATTGAAGGTCGACTCAAAGCTTTACTTTGACTAAAACGAGAATGAACAGGTTAATTAAAATTTCTCATAACTCAATCACCATTAAATCAAAACATCGAAAACATTTTTATGTCATAAGTAAAAATCGCTCTCTGGCAACTGAGCCGACAAACATTGGAAGAAGACAAAAGATTTTGTGATTGACAACTTTTTGCAGGAAAATTATTCAGTAAAAAACAGATCAGGACAGGATTCGAACCGTAGATCATATTAGATCCAGGTATGAACGTTAATTCCAGGCTAAACGTGCAGCAGCGGCCCAGTAATTAAATAGATTATGAGCCATGCTATCAACTGATTCTGTTAGAACTAGAAAAAAGTTGTTTACCAAAAGACCATTATCCAATTTGATAAAAACTCTACAATCAAACTATGGCCAAAACTTTCTGAGCTACTTGCACAGCAACCTGCACTTCATATTGTTCCGACCATTGAAAATGGGGAAGAAATTTGTATTCGGGTGTGTTTAAGTTTTTTTTTGCTTTTTTTTTTCACGCAAAATCAGGTTCCACAAAAAATCATCGAGCTGGGTTGAGGGATATAACATATAAAAGCCCTTTCAGCTGTAATTCGAACGACATTAAAAAAAATTGAAACTTTTTTCACAGTGTCGAGAAAACCCGGTTTAAAATTTTTGGTCGAGTTAATGAGGTGACTGTATATGCTTACAATAGCTTATTTAGGCTTAACTTCAGCCGTGGAAGCTGTTTTATTCAGGTAAAGGTCGTTTCTGAAATTTTTTTAGCGCTGAAGTTTTTAAGCGTAGTGTCTGAATTTCGAGCTAATAAGGTGACCGTATATGCTTACAATAGCTTATTTAGGCTTAATTTCAGCCGTGAAAACTTAGTTTTATTCAAGTAAAGGTAGTTTCTGAAGTTTTTTTAGCGTAGTTTCTGAATTTCGAGCCAATAAAAAATTTTGCAAAAAGTATGGAAAAATATGCCTGAATTCTATTTTTTCTTAGATGTTTTTATAACATGCAGAAAAAAAACGACAGAAAGTTAAAAAAAAAACTTTTTGTTTAGTATTTTTAAGACAGTGGTCGGAACATTTTGTGCTACTTGCATAGTAACCGACTATCCTTGTTAATGTTGATCTTTTTTTTAAAAAAAAATTAAAAAAATCACCCGAAACAAGTGAAAATTCAATTCGTTCATCAGTGCTTGCCATCAATATCTGCGAAAAACTAATTATTTCAGAAAAAATCAGTGGACGAACAAATATGGTAGACTGAACTTTTTTGGTATACTATACGAAAATGCACTTTCTATAATATACAGATAACCCCAATAGCTAGCAATATAATTTCAACTTCGGCTGCACGACATCCGATGGCTGCATGTTAAGATACTTTTTGTCTTGGTTGCTTACACTAACTCAATAGTTTTTAAGCCTTATATCGAGACAAAAAGTTGAAAGACTAAATTAAATTTCAAGTGATATCCATTTGCAGATATTAAACATTTTATCATCAGTTTCATTTATGAATTGCGACAATCACGGACACTAAAAAAAAGGCTAAACATGAAAACCCAATCTTCAAAATAGTTGGAACATGGAAAGCTTGATATCGAGTGTTATTGTTTTAAACAGTCAATTTCTGATAAAGTTAAAATCAAGCGTTTAATGACCATCTGATCATGAGGGCCGACTACTGCATGGTATTAACAAAGCAGAAATCTGGGCAAACTGAATCTTCGCCAATTTTAATTTCAACCAAAAATTTGTCATTTCACTTTTTCTCGTTCACTTATCATAATATGAAAACGGACACGAGCGATACGACAACGGTCGATAAAATGGAACGGATAACAGACAATAAAATAAAATAGTAGTCTAGGAGCAGAGGGTTCCGAAATTATACAATTTTTCAATTAACCATTTCTTTTACAGCGCGGATGAAACAACATGTAAGCTTTTTTCTTTTCCTTCAAAAATTCTTGAGTGCATTCTTGAAATTAAATAAATATGTTTTTTTTTCTAAATACTTCGGCTGTTTAAATTGTCTGATTAATGATATACAAATTCAACTATAGCCATTGGTAAGGTACGTTGAAGGCTGTGTTGTATTGCTTATATGTAGCTTATACCTTCCCTTTTCATATTCACTCACTAGGGGAACAGTTATGACGTCAATTCATGCTTCCCTACCATTACACAATTCAACTACACTCTGTGACGTCAGCAAGACTACCATTACTCCCTCTTTCTTTCACATTGAGCAATTCTCCATTTAAGACAGAAAATGGAAAAAGAAGAATAGCCACAAAATGGGCTTTTTTGCGTAGGATCTGTTTCAAAACGAAGCACCTCCCCTGCGCCTGACCTCACAATACTGCAGCAAGATCTTTAACTAGATCTTCAAATTTAACGCGAAAAACTAAAAACGAAACGGTAACAGAAAAAACTCATTCAACAAGTTAAGCAGTAACTTAACCATAAAAACGGAAAACTACCAAGTTGACGCGAGGATAACCAATTCATCAAGAGAAGTCTCGTACAATTTACAAAAAATTATTCACTTAAAAATCCACACGAGAGGGCTGTAGCGGATTTAGGTAGGGAACAGACTCCCCCCCCCCCCCGCCCCAGGGATTCAATACCCTGCCGACCCAACAGATCCACCCTTTGGAATTATTTCAAGTCATACATTTTAGACTGGCCTTCCTTAAAATTTTTCTAAAGCCGCCTTTGGCGCCAACATTATACTAATTTAGAGAACCGAAAAACGCAATTTCCGCGCCAAGATTTTACAAAAATTGCCTGAAAACGTTTTTGGTCTGTTTTTGTTTCAAAAATTCGCAGCGGCTCTGAAAATATTATCAAAATGGGGTCTTTGCAGTGATTTGGGAAAGCTCAGAAAATCAATTTAGTCGACCTCAAAAAAATCGACAAAATATTCTGAAAAACCGCCCAGCCCCGCCCCCTCGAGAAAACCATAGATGCTCCACTGCGAGAGGGTAAGCGCCTCATTACCTTGGTTTAATTTCATTTAAGACCACAAGTTTGCAGAATTTAACACCTGTACAAGAGGGGTTTGTCACAGATTGTAACATGAAAAAATGTAGCAGTTCTACAACAACATTAATCCATCTAAAACTTATTTAGCCTCACTTTCGGTTCTCGGTCCGAAGATTTCAAGATTTAAAGATTTATTTTAAGATTTAAGGACAAAAAAGATTAATAAGCAGTCGTACTTAAATAGATTCAAATTCATTTATCTTTGTTTTTTACTCAATTGAATAATGATATCAATACGACTACATGCACTGCCATTTGGCGCAATTATAATAAAAATGATGGTAGCCAAAAACAAGAACGAACTATAAAAACGCATTAAAGGAAAATTTTTTCAATACAGATTTTTTGTTTGCAACTATTTTTGATATTCCGGTCCTCTGCCTTGCCCTCAGAAAAAACCTAAGCAACTGAGTTTTTCAAAGCCTTACAGAATATTTAGATACTCAATGATACACAACGCTATGCATGAAAATAAAAGATTCGAATACATGCCAACTTTTAGCAGCACCATTAAAATTTCTGTTTATCCGAATTTAATTTTATCCCAAGCGTAATTATTTCCTGTTGGTCAGAGAACCTTGAAAAAAATTGATCAACCGCGCAATACATGGAGACTTCTACGGCAGTTAAATATATCAATCAAGCACATAACAAATATCTACTCTCTAAAATGAAAACTTAACAAGCCCAAACTCCCTGTCATTTTATGATAGTACTAGCCCCAGTAGTTTTTGATCGCATTTTGCCTCTGATTTTCAATGCATGCTTTGAAATGCAGAAAAGTTGCTCACTTTATACCCACAATACGCCTACTGTTGAAACACTTAACAAATTCATGGAAACAGGCTTTATGTTTCATTTATTAAAAGTGAGTCGCGAAAACATTAAAGGTAAAAATAATCTTTGATTTCGCTTAAACACACTAACTCAGAAAGAGTTCATTACGCCAGTACTCTATGCGCTCTTATAGCTTTTAACAAACTTATCGGACAGCGTCTTAAAATTTTGAAATAATTCTGACCTTCAAGCTGTTCTTTGAAAATTCGCGTTTGCCGTTTTGTCGGCGTTTTATGGTTTTTTCTATTGAAAAATAGCATTTTAGATCGCTGCTGAATGAAAATTGTTTCGAAGTTAAGGGCTTCAATTTGTAATTAAAAACTCACCTCGCGCGCGCAAAAAGTTTGGTTTACTCTTTTGACAATACAAACGCTATTTTGAAATTTCGTTGTATTTTCATCTCAACTATGTCACTATCTCAAGGTCAGAATTCTTTCAGCAAACTTAGCAGCTGTCCGATACATTTGTAGAAGCTATAATTTAAAACTCGTTGATGAGGTACATTTTTCAGAGGATCACTTCAAATTCTGCTTTTTCAGAAATTCAGTGGTGAAAACACATGAACTTGAAAATTATTTGAGACTGGAAATTCCGAAACTAGATATTCAACCAACTTAGAACTCAGCCAAATTACCAGACTATTCAGCGACAGAAATTTCATTTGATAAAAAATGGAACAGTTAAGAAATCACTTGCGATTATTGCCGATTGAAAGTTTAAGCGACGAACACTGATTTTGCTCTTTATACGTCTTGTACTGCATGTAAGCGCAGCTGAGAAAGTGATAGCTACTTTCCAATTCCATTCTATTTACAATGCCGCGTAAGAAACTATTTGTTGTTCCCATTTTCGGCTGAGTTAACTCATTTTGGAAAACTCCTGAAGCTGTCTGTAGCTGAATAGCCTATAATTTTAACTGAAATGTTTATGAGTCACCGAAAACAAAGTGGACAAGAAATTGGAACAGCGTTATGGAACTCAAATAAACCAAACGAAAACTAGGTGTTAAATTTCAAATTCGAAACTCTAATTCGACACAACGGCGAAGCTGAACTTCGAATCATTTGCGATACAACACAAACATAAACACAGAGGCGAAGCTGAGCTTCGCACCAATTGCGATACAAAATTATAGGATGAGGGCATCATGACGCTAAAAAATTAGCAAACAGAACTTCATCGTTACAATTGAGAAAGGAAATTGAAAAACGAACAAAAAAATATTTTTGTATTTGAATTTAAATTTGGGTTTTTCAAAGAGGTCTTAGTGGGGTTGAATTTGGGCATTAAAAAAATTGGTGCTAGTCTTACTGATCTCAAAAGTACTACAGGACATTTCAATTTAAAAAATCGGTAACTAAGCCGACAGAATTGAAGCCGACTTCAAATCATCTGAAACTGAGCCCATAATTTCAAATTAGTGTAGTTTTTTCTGCGTGGTGTGAGAAAATGATTTGACGTAAAACTTCAATTTAGGTGTATTCGACAATCATAATATTATAGGCAAATTGGACAAAAATGTTAGTAGAAAAATAAAAACCTGATTTTTTTTGAAGTTTTTGGTTCCCAAAACGGCGCTGGAAAACTAATTTTACTTTCTGAAAAAGAAACTTTCAGCGCTTAAATTAAGCATAAATAAGCTGTTGTAAGCCTGCTTGCTCGCTTTATTCGAACAAAAATAAAAAAAAAATAATAAAATTTTATAATAGTTTTTCTCGATACTGAAAAAAAAAACAAGTTTTTCTATTGTCGTTCGAATTACGACTCAAAAAAAAGCTTCAAATTGGTATATTATTCGACCCATTCCAATTATTTTTTCAGGTAAATGATTTTCCGTGGAAAACAAAAAGATACAAAAAAAGTAAAACTCAACCGAATACAAAATTCCAATGGCCGGAAAAAACTTGAAATGGTCGAAATAAAAGTATTCATATAACGCCCAGATAGGATCCACGTTGGCTATATGAGTAGCGTATGCAAAGTAGACTACAAAAATTGGAAAATAAACTGACAGAGCTTAAGTTGACAACCAAGAAGAGCAGCCGAAAGAGCATCAGTAGATAATTAATATCAAAACTAAAAGTATACAAACAATGGTTTAAAATCTAGATATAGCATGAGTAGTAACTAGCGCACGTTAGTTAAATTCGAATTCTCATAATATTGATCATGTCAGCAGCATAGCATCATTATAAGCGATTCAACTGATTTTGTTAAGCTAGATGCTAGCCTCAAAAAGTCTATATTCCGATTAGCTAACTCTTGCTAATCGAGAGCTTACTGATAGGGGAAATTGTAAAAAGTATGCGCTGTCGTAACCTTGCCAAAACAAAGCAGACAATCGATAGGCCGCCAATTTTTTAGAAGAAAACTTCTAATTGGAAGAGAACCCAGTCATCCCAGGAATGGACACAACATCAGTGCCAATTGTGCTGAACGACACGCTGAATTTGGTTTTGATTTAGTGATTCTATCAAATGGTTTAGTGTCAAATGATTCTGTCAAATGGTTAGTTAAACTATTTGTTAGACTGAAATAACCTTAGGCACGATTCGATAAAGTTTGCATATCGCAAGGTTATCAATACAAAAAGTTGACAGTTTAAGTGTCGAAAACTTATCAGCGCAGGTTTGTTGCAGGGTTGAGAAAAAACGTTATTCATTGAAAAAGTAAATTAAACAGCGTTTTGAAAAAAAAATTGCTTTGTTTTTTTACACAATATTTTAAACCTATTAACACTGAACGTCTTACTCTCTTATCCAGGGATTGTAAGCTAATTTTCTAACTGTACATATTAGATAATTTTCTAACTTTTCTGGAGAACCAAAATATTTTTGATAAAATCATGAGCTGTTTACGGGTAAATTTTCACTCATCTGACTCAGTCGGAGCTTACCAAGTGACACGTAGAAGTCGGCGAAGTTCACCAAATGGTCCAGTAGCAATTTAGTCGAAGTCATGTCAAATATTACTTTGTTTTTGATTCCGGACACATTGATCTAAAACACATTTAAATGAAGGTTTTCTCAACGTTTGTATTTTTTGCAATACTCATCGATTTAACTACTAAGCTACCAAGAAAATAATAACGGTTCTGATAGACGAACTAGCGCGAAGACGAAAAAAAACAGCTCTATAAAATGCAAGAAAAATTGGAAATACGCCTCGAATTCATAAACCTGCGACCGAGAGATTACGAGTCTCACCCACTATAACCATTCAGCCACTGATGCTTAAAGCAGAGAACAGATGTTATGCCATTTCCAATGCTGCACTGAAACTTCAAATTAAGATAACACTTTTGGCTCTTTTCCACTTTCCCCTACATTTCGTGTTATTATGGCTGAATGCGTGATGTTACGATGCAACGTATGAAGAACAAATATGTTCACAATAGTTAGATTGTTCACGATGCAAAATGTCAATACACTATGACAACATTAATTTGGTTTATCAAAACTGAAGTACATCAAATGTGGGGAAGGAAGGAGAGGAAAACAGCCACACTTTCTTCAATTAACATTTTTATTTGCGAGTTAGGTTAGAATAAAAAGAAGGTTGGTAATAATACACTAAGCTGATCGCTAGTGAAAAAGTAGCATTTTATCATTTAAAACATATAACAAAAGCCGAATCAGAATGTTGATAAATCTAGAACTGAGACAGTAAGACTAACAAAAAACTTCTTTTTTTTTGGAAAAACGAAAAATTGAATCTCATAAAAACAGACGAGAAACACAATCACTAGCATTAAATAAGCTTTTAAATTTCCTAGCGTTCACTAAACCAACAACACTCGGTTAGACATCAATTGATACGAAAATAAAAATGCGAAAGGAAATTGCTGTCAGAAAAAACTTTAAAAAACTCAACAATTTTTTTGGCAATACGAAAAATTCAATCTAAAAACATGCAAAAAACACAACCACTAGCACTAAAGAAGCTTCCACCTTTTCTCGAGAGTTCACTCAGCCGACAACACTAGGTTAGAAGCCAACTGATCCGAAAACAAAAATGCCAAAAGAAAATGTCATCAAAAAATTTTGCGCGATTAAAAAGTTTAGTTTTTAACTTTTATACTACCAACCCACCTGAAGAAAAATCATTTTTATACTTAAACTGATGCAAATTAAGTTTAATAATAAAATTTCTAAATTATTGAGGTACACTTCGTTTTAAATGTTGATTTTCAAGGAAGAAAAGGATTTTAAAGGATATAAAACTTGCCTCAGCAATTTTGACGAATCTGCCAGACTGGTTCTCCTTTACATCCAGGTAGAACTTTTTGGACTGTATGTTTAGACTCAGAGAGGCCAGCTCTCTCACAGTCCCGTGCTCCATGTTTTGTATGTTAGTCTCCCTCAAACTAACCCTGAAAAAGCAGGTGTTAGTTAACATTTTGAATACTTATAAAAACACATGGTTAAATATAACATTAAGGAAGTCAGATTCACAAGCTGTCCAGTCAGATTTGTTTTTTTTTTCTCAAGTAATCAGAAGGTCAAAAGTATCATAGTAACCGAGGTTACAGTCAGGAAACCCATCATCACGTATTCCAGTCGAAATCCTTGGAATTTTCTAGATATGGAAGTGATAATGATAAAAGAAGATGACAAGTGTTGAAGTCCTTTTCAATTAAAATCGATACGGGTTACGTTTCTTCAATAAGAACACGCAACTCCAGTCATATCAACCACATTCGAGTAAATCACTGAGTCTTTTAATAACTCGAATGTGGAGAGTCTTTTCAGAATTTCATTTTCACGATATGAGGAGCTAGGAGTGAAATGTTAAAGTATCTCTGATGGATAGGATGAACTTTCTCTAGAGAACAAAAACATTTATAAAATAATTATGTGGTAACCCTGTTTTAAGGAATGACTTCGAGATCTGAGGATGACGAGACCCAGCCATGAGCTCACTTACATTGGATAAAAGAAGATGACAAGTGTTGAAGTCCATTTCAATTAAAATCGATACGGGTTACGATACGGGTTAGCCTAATTGTTGTGATAAACTTATTAAATAGTTTCAGACCCGTTAGACTATGGGAATGAGACGGAGACGGGGCAGCCGTGGTGGCCCCAAACTTAACGAGTGTCTTTTCTCACCATGCATTGCAAAAGACGAGAAGGGTACAGGACTTTATCCTCCACGGTAATTATCCTCCAGGCGATCAGTCGCTCCTGCAGCTCAACCAAGGGTCGCGCAAGCTCATCTAAGGTGGTTCTAAGACCTATTTTTCACGAGGAAGCGAATGGGCCTATCCCGGAAGCTCTACGAGCAAGCTTTGTTAATTTTCAAGCCAACTGAAGCAACTTCGTCAGTTTTGGACCTCATTTTGAGCTTGTTTACGGCTCGGGTCATAACTTTTGAACCACTGGTCGCACAGCTCCCATCTTTTTCATGCAGCTGACCATGAACATCCAAATTCATAAAATTGGGGGATAAAAATGGAGGAAAAAGTCCCTGTTTGAGAAATGGAGGATAATGGTGGAGGATATCGCCTGGAGGATAATTACCGTGGAGGATAAAGTCCGTTTCCCGACGAGAACATGTTGCAGTGGGTCCAGTGCGAGATAAGCGATTGTTGGGCACATAAGATATGCGCTGGTTTGGCCAATCTGGAAGAAGCTTCGCACTACAACTACAGCTGCCCCCAATGCAGATGCAACACGAAGAAGAGAGGCATCTGTCCTGGCTGTAGTAAGTCTATCGCAACACATCAGAGTGGACGCTTCCGTGTACACGGACCGGTGAACAACAGGTGCATTTTCTCTAATAAACTTCCCGTCCCAGTATCAGACACTGAGCCTAACAATGCCCCAATAGATGCCACCTCATTCACGGCCAATGATTTCATCAACGTCATCAAGGCGTTTAAATGTAAGACACTCAAGTATGTTCCGAAGGCTGCAAGGATACACTTCTCACATGCTGTTAACACTGCTCTGCGGGCTGTCATTAATGACACTGATAGCAAAACAGCATGGCTCAATGTGTTTACCATTGCCCACCGATTGCTGAAAGCCCCTGTTCGTGCCGGATCAGCAAAGAAAACCAGCCTGGCACCTTTGTAAAGCGACAAATTGACGTGTTTCTCAACGAAGCGGCTGTGCGCCCTGTGGAGTCGAAACCCAGACCACGTAACAATGTCATGCCAGACAAGGAAAGACTCTCAAAACTTATCTGTGAGCAAATTAATGAAGGCCACATCAAGGCTGCGGTTAGAATTGCGTCTTCTGACAAGGGAGTAGTTCTGCCAAGCGACGAGAACATGAAACTACTGGAACTGAAACATCCTCCCGAACACCCAGATAGACAAGCCTTCCCGGTCACACAGGAGCAACCGTTGGAAATCTCCGGCTCTCTCGTGCTCAGTGCCGTGCAGAGCTTCGCCACTGGCTCAGCGGGAGGACCAAGTGGTCTACGACCACAACATCTCAAAGATTCGCTATCCTCCGCTGCCACCGATGCCGGAAACGTTCTTTTGAACACGTTAGGAGACTTTGTCAATCTTATGCTTGCTGGCAAAGCCCCTGAGTTCGTTCGTCCTGTTTTTGCCTCTGCTAACCTTACCACACTGTCGAAGAAAGCAGGTGATCTTAGACCCATCGCTGTAGGCGAAACCTGTGACATTCGACCAGAATGGCCAAAATGCAATTTATGCAGGATTCGAATTTTGAGCAGTAAGCCTTCCGAGTTGATGATTTCGAAGGATTAGCGACGTTATTGGAACGTTTAGCCAAACGGTGAGGGCTAGAATATTCTAGTATTTTAAATTTTCAAAAATTCGAATGATGACGTCACATTTCTGAGAAATGCTGAAACGGCCATTTTTAACAAAAAGCGAGTGAAAAACAGAACAACTTTTATCTGTGATTGCGAACAGAACGAAAATCGAGATTAAAGAAAAACAACAACGAACTACAGAATAGCAGAGAACGTTCCGAGTTGCAACTATTGTGCTGCTACAATAGTTGCAAGGCCGTTGCCAACAACGGTGAAGGGTGAGAACCAGCCTTCCGGATTAGCAAGAAATCAAGAGTAAGGAGCTTGATTCACTGGATTCAAGAATCCGGAAGGGTTTCGGGACTGGAACTTTTAGCCTTTTATATAAACTTTTAGCTTCTTGTCATGTCCTGAATTGAATTTAATTAACAACTGGATTCGTTTTGATAAGGATGAGAAGCTAGGAGTTGGGGGAAAGGGTTGATCCATCTTCGATGGAGATGATGATTTTTATCTACTGAACAAAAACAATAGTAATATAATAAGTAGTAACCCTGTTTTTAGGAGTGACCTCGTGGTCTGGGGATACTGAGACCCAGCCATGAGCTCACTATCTTTGCATGTAATTCAGTTAATTTGAGCGTTCTGGTCGAAGCCGGAGAACAGTAACGTTTTTGTCAGCCTGATGTAAGAAAGACCACCGAAAAGTACTGGCTTGGTAGAGACGGTGAAAAACATGCAAAGCTCTGTTTAGACGCTAGCCAGTCGTCTAAAGACTTAGTTTTGTTATCCGTCGATATGTATCTTCCGGGCGAATGTTACATGTATGTTTTTATGGCGCTCCTGGGTGTTATTCTTTCGTAACATCATGACCGGCGGAACCGTTAACGAGCACTCCGCGCCGAGCGGATGCTCACATTAACGCCCTTAATAGGCCTAAACTGCCGGGGCGGAAGGGTAGTTCGGAACGCGGAAGCCTTCCGGATTGCCGTGAATAGTTTTTTAACCTAGTTAAGACCGAAAATTCATGAACCAGGAAGGGTGGGGGGAATCGCGAACCCCTCGTCCCCTGAGTGGTTTGTGACCAAAAACATTTAAAGATATAAGTAAAACCAAACAAAAAGTAGTATAGTACCCAAGAAAAACAAAAAACATAAAAAATTACCGAAAAAACCAAAAACAGTAAAAAAGTAGAAAATCAGTAGAAATCATCCCCCCAGACAAGATGTGATTCAACCCCCCGTTTGTTGTTGATAGATATATTGTTGTTACAGGCATTTATATCAGTCAGGATCGTTACGATCAATTTTGAGGCCCGTTTGTGAGGCTTGTACTGTAGGGTTATTTGAGCATTTAAGCACGTTAATGATAAATTGCGCTCAATCCGGAAGGGTCAGCTGATTTGCGCTCAATTCGGAAGGGTCTTGGGTGAAGACCGATCCGGCAAGCAGTTCAAGGAGCAACAAGAAGGGGCTCAACGACAACAACAATCGACTGTTGGGTATCGTTAACAAGTTTTGTATCCCTTTTGGTACAAAAAGCAAGATAGTAATCTGTGGGGGGCTCGACAGTGCTGCACTGTAGTGACCCTTCACCGAACTGCGAATATCCGAGTTAAGCACCTTAATTCGGATAATAAACAAACCCGGAGGGGTATAGTATTACTAATATTATTATTCATATAGCCTATATTAATAGTCATATATCGTTTTTCAGTGAAAAACAACGAAAACAGACCGGTTTTTAGGGTCAAAATAGCGATATTTTGATCCCCCCACAAGTCGCGATTTTTGAGATATCGATATTTTTTGAAACGGAAAAAAGCGCTAAGTTAGTGTGTTACATCGTAACTGCACTACTGTAATAAGTAGAACCGGTTAACTTTAGTTCGGAAGTGGTTGGAACTAGTTTGGTACCAAAAACCAAATTTTCCCAATTTTTGATAGTAAGAAACACTAAAAATTTAGAAAATTTTTTGAAATTTTTGAGGTAGGACAGTAAAAATAGTTGTTCGGACAACGTCCACTAGTGAATCTACAAGTCTTAAAATCCGCTACCCGAAAGCCTTCCGGGTTGCAGAGAAATCGAACATAACGTGTTTGATTTGGTGGATTCATCAATCCGGAGGGGTCCAGGTAGCATAGTTTTTCGCAAATTTTTTCTACAAAAGCGTTTTAGATCGGGTATTTTGCATTGAACTAGAAGAGTATAGGCCTTCTGAGCTCGGATCAATAATTTTCAGGTCGAAAGGACCAGATTTGCGGAAAAAGTTAGGCGGAACCTATAAGAGAGAAAATTTTTGAGTTTGGAAGAAAGACGTTTTAGTTAATAACTTTGGAACTACTGAGCATATTGAGTTGATCTTGGTACCAATAGATCAGAAATTAGCAGAACTTACTAGTAGGAAAGAGAATTACTCGAAAAAGCGAGCGAGAAAATTTTTTGAGATTGTTTTTAGCAAATTACACAAATCCGGAGGGGTACACCCTTCACGTTTTATAAATTTTTCTAAAAAACCCTTATACCCCTACCAAAAGTTGATAGCGATTGAACTAAGTAACTTAAGACAGTTCTAGACAAAAGGGGAGGGCTGAAGGCACAAGACAACCATAATAGAGTCGAAATTAGGCAAGTGA